AGCGTGCTACCGCTTGAGCCACATCCCTAGCCCTGCTTAGCTTTCTTAATAAATCATATTTTAACTGTTTGATATCTTTTGTTGAAGAAGAGAATAGAGGAGAGAATTTCTCAGAAGTACTGATTATATGACTAAATATTTTGGGTTCAAGTCAGTTTTTACATTTACAGAGAAAAGTCAAGCCTCACATAAAAAATAGTTGCCTGGTAGGTAAAAGTTTTCCAAATAGAGCATTTTTTCTAAATGGCAGAAAATTGAACCTACAAACATCTTGTAAATGTTTGTAGGGGTTATTTGAACAACAGCACTTTCATGTTCCAATGAAATATTAGCATGGTAATGAAGGTGAGTATGGTATTAACTCTGGTTTTGCTTTCACTATGAGAAATGGCTTAACTCATTTTTTCTTTCTTGGCAGAGCAAATTCGATTAAAGAATATCAGAAAAGTATATGGAAGATGTATGTGGTATCGTTTAAGGTTGTTAAAACCCCAGCCAAATATTATTCCTACAGTAAAGTAAGTAATGGATTTCAGTAAAAATCATGCCTTAGTGCTTACTCTTCGGGTATCATATAAAATAGGGATTATAATGACTTAAGATGTGCTTGAAAAGAAATTGTAGCCTATAGTAGAGGTAAAATGTAATTTGTAAATTTGGGAACTGACTGAACAAAGGAGAAGGGTGAGGAGGAAAGTAACATTCAAGTCTTCTGTATCTTGTGCTATAATTTCAGTTTTATGTTAAAGCTATAGGGGAATTGTAGAAAGATTTAAAAGGCAGGGAGGTGATGTGGTCAAGTTTGCATTTCATGGTGATAATTAGAAGTTTATTGAGTACATATTGCATACTAGGTGCTTTTTATGTTATTTAACTCTGTATCAACTTCAAGGTAAATATTTGTGCTTTTTCTCAAACCAAGGCAAAGAAAGATGTGATAACTTGACCAAAGTCATGCAGCTAAAGACTTAAATCTTAGGGAGATACTGGCAAATAAACAAATAATTATATTAGAGTTAGTGCCTTAGTCTGTTTTCTGTTGCTATAACAAAATACCAGTAGCTGTATACTTTATAAAGAGAGGTTTATTTGGCTTATAGTTTTAGAGGCTGATAATCAAAGATCAGGAGACCCCGTTTGTTTTCTGGTGAGGCCCTTCCTGGCTACATCACAACATGGTGAATGGCATTATGGTGGGAAGGAAGAGAAGTCATGTGGTGAGATAGGAAATCAGGGGCCAGTCTTCCTTTTTTATGATAACTTATTCTGGCAACCATGAGAACAGCATTAATCCCTTCTGAGGATGATACCTCTAATGACCTAACCACCTTCTGCTAGGTCTTAAGGTTTTAAATTAACCTTTATGAAGCAGCAGGGCTAATACACACACACTCACACACACACACACACGCACACACACACACAAAATCTCTCGGTCTTCTTATAATTTAGAGACTGTAAAGTTCAGCCACCTCTAGATATTGCCACATTGGAAACCAGGCCTCTAGTACATGAACCCTTGGGGGGGGGCAAAGCACATCTAAATGATAGCAGTAAGGGCTGGGAGAGGGGTGATACCATGAAAGAGTAGAAGGACTTCTACCTCTGACTCAAGATAACAAAGAATGCTTTTCTCACAGATGTAAGTTCACAGTTGAGATTTGGAAGAGTTATTAATAATAGACCATAGCTTATATGAATTGATTGTTTACTATCTGTCAGCTACCTTCTGAATTCTTTATATGCTAAATCTCATTTAATTCTCAAACTCGCTCTGAAGTTGGAAACTGAGATGTAAAAGGCTAAGCAAATTGCCAGCCTTTCTTAGTTAATAAGTGAGGAATGTGGGAGATGAGCTGAGGGATTTTTGTTCTGAAGCTTGTGTTCTCAATTCCCCTCTCCCTTGATAGTCAGGTCAAAGTGAGGGGATTTTCCACATAAGTTTCCCTTTCTTCTCTGGGCATAGGTGGACATATGGACGATATGGAAAACAGTTTGAAGTGATATGCCTTTATTAAGGTTTAGAGTATTGTTTTGGCCAAATGAAAAGAAATTTATATCTGATTGCCAGCTGTGTTTAAGCTATCCTGGGATTAGTCAAGATTGAATAGTATTCTATCCAGCTGTCCAAGGAACTTGGAGTGAGTTAGAAGAGAAAGTCATGTTTTGTGTTTCTTTGTGTCTTTAACTATAGTCATCTATTGATCATTTTGGCAAAGGTTAAGGATTGCTTTTTGGAGGATAGGTCACTTGACTTGAATATTTAAGGAAGAGTAGAGTTTGGGTGAGCAGAGATAGGGAATGGAAATTTTTGGTAGAAAGATATGAGAGAAAAGCATGATGATAAGGAAAGCTTAGGGAATTTTGAAAGATAGGACTTGTTTTGTTTGAAAAATCAAGGTGATAAAGGTAAGTGGATAGATTGAAACAAGATCATTTCAGATGAGTCTAGATGAAGAGGCTTATTCCAAATGATGAACATAATTAAAAACTATGTTCCTCCTCCAAGAGTTTAAACACATAAATTTTTCTTTGTAGTTCTAAAAATAAGGCACTCCAATTTTATTTGACTTGTCCTTCTTTGATTCTTAATATGTTTTTGCTAACAAATCCTGTTTGGTATAACAAGTTGTTATCCAAAGAGCATAAAAAAGTAAAAATAATTTAATGTCCTTACCTAAAGATAGCCACCGTACAATGATTACTTTATATGTTTCTAATTTTTTATTTCTAGAAATTGGATTATATTTTAAATAATTTGAAAGCTGTTTTCTCTTTTAAATTTAACAATACAAGGTAAATAGTCTTTCACAGGAAATTTTGCTTTTATTAATTGAAAGTATTTCTCTGTATGGTTGTAACAGTTATTCAGTAATTTTTGGATGAGTATTTAAGTTTGTTGTTTTCTTTTATTACTACTTATATCCATAACTACCCTTTTATATTCCACATACTTCATTCTACTTTATTCTCTTCTAAATTTCTTGATTTGGAATGGATTGATAGACTGAAATGGTGTTATTTTTGAGGTTTTTAATACCTTATTTCCAGATGTCCTTCAAACATCTGGAGGGAGAAGAAATAAATTTTTTGTCAAATTATATGTTGTTTTATATCTTTTTTTATTTTAACTAATGCTCATTTTTAACTATTGGCTACAAAATGTTACCTTGTATGGCTGCATCATAGTTTACTTAATTCTTTATAAATGATTTATTCATTTAGTTTCCTGTAAATGGACATTAGATTATTTCCAAGGATTTATTACTGTAAACAATGCTGTTTATTCATCTTTGCACAGCTGACCAATTACCTTTTTTAGTTTATCATACTAAAAATGTAATTGCTAGGTAAAGAGCAATTTTTTTATATTCAGTAGCTTATTAAATACTTAATATTTATATATTTTGATTACTGAATACTTAATATTTACATATTTTATCTAATCAAGTAAGTTAATAACTTCAATTAACTCCTGGACTTGAAATTCTACAAATAGTAAACAGAAAATTTATTACATGGAGGCACTGTACTAGATTTTACAGAATTCAAAAGTGAGAAAGATATTATCCTTGCTTTAATGGGAGTATTCAACTCAGCAGCTGTAGAATTTGAATGCTATGAAATTAGTTTATATTGTTTTATGTCTTAACCTCCCTATATCATTAGACTCAAGGAAAGCCATTCACATGTATTTATTTATACCTCATGTATCTTTTTCTTAACAGGAAAATAGTTCTACTTGCAGGATGGGCATTGTTCTTATTCCTTACATACAAAGTGTCCAAAACAGATCGAGAATATCAAGAATACAATCCTTATGAAGTATTAAATTTGGATCCTGTAAGTTGTATTATTATATTTTGTACTTTAAAGATCCCATTAAAACACAATAGGTCCACATCTAAAAGAAATTGGACCATGCCTTAGAGAAATCAGACTTCAGTTAGTTAAAATTTTTTATTAAAATAAGATATGAATTTATTATCATTTTAACATGCATATGTATATATATTTAAGCTGAAGCTATTAATTGCCATATTTTAAGTATTGTTTTGTAATTGCTAAAATATTTGAAGATCAGAAGTTAGCATATTTTAAAAGACATCTCTAAGATTGATCTAATGCAAAATTTAAAAACTGGGAGGGCATTTATGTGAGTTGAATGTTAAAAATCTTATGCCTTTGTGTTGATTGACATGTAGGCAGCATGTTAAGTCTGGTTTGGGGGATCTCATTGAAAATTTGTCTTTGGGGTATATCATTAGAATGTTAGAACTGAAATTAATGATAGAGATCATCTAGCTTTTTTTTCAAATAGAGAAAATGAGGCTTGGAAAATTTGTGTCTTCTCTGGTGTTCTGTAGCTTCTTAGTAGCCAAGCTAAATCTAGTGCTCTTTCCATTTTTCCCCCAAACCACTTCTTCTAATTTGCTCAACAGATGGCTTGATTCAGAGATTTATATAATACAGAGTAAGGAGTAATTTCATCTTCTAGTTTTCTGCTTTGTAGAAGAAAAGTTTGCATATAATATGATTCTTCTTATTGTAACAACTGTTATGGCAGTCAGGAGTTTGAGATGTTTTCCAGTCCTCCTCAGATTATAAGGGAAGCAAACCTTTGATTTGAGCATTTTTGAGCTAGTCTTAATTTACTGTGATCATTTTTTGATAAATATCTGTATACTTTTGTTTAAATGTGGCATTCTGTGGCTTCATTTTAAAATCATTAATGCCTAGTACTGCAGGATATATTAATTCCATAAAATACTTTTATTTTAAAATGTGTGGGGTGAAATTTATGGTACAAAATATGTAGGAGGAAATGTCAGTTTCTTTTGTCAGAATATTAAGTAGTTTATTGTCAAAATAGGTTGGATTATTTCTTTACCACATGGTGCTTGCTTTTACTAACACAAAGCTTTCCCTTTTAGGGAGCAACAGTAGCAGAAATTAAGAAACAGTATCGTTTGCTATCACTTAAGTATCATCCAGATAAAGGAGGCGATGAAGTTATGTTCATGAGGATAGCAAAAGCTTATGCAGCGTAAGTATCATAGGACCCATTATGCATTTTGTAGAGGGGAAAAGATAGTTTTGTGTTTTAATAAAATAGTAAGTAAAATAAGTGTCATACACTTTTGTTAAATGCTGACCTCACATGCTGTGTTATTTATGGAACTATTCTGCAGCCCTAAAATTGTAATTTAATGAAACCGTAATTTTAAGTAACTTAAGTTGGCACTGAAAGTAGTACTTGTGCCATGTGAACTAAGTTAAATTAAGTAGTAAATGACAAGTTCATTGAGCTATTTTGTAAGCATCTCAAGTGGAAGAGAGTATACTCGTACCTTGTTTTCATTTTGAGGCTTTTATTAGGCTAGTTCTGTCCCGTCCCCCCCCCCCC